CTGAGCATTTTAAGTGAGAATAAACTGGAATAACCACCCGCACCGTACATGGCGTCAACATTTTTGGGTATTTTCCAGTCGAAAAACTTCGGACTAAGAAATATATCTGCATCCGTCCGCAGAACAAAATCATAATGACTGACTATTGATTCAATACTAGCATCTCTGAGAAATGCGTGGGTTTTGATATACGGATACTTTTCAGGTTTGTAGGGGAGTCGGCGGAAATAGCAAGTTGCTGATTTTCGAACTAGTTGTTTTGTCGGTTCAATGAGCTCTTTGCAGTCAATAGGTAGTCGGTCACATGTTCTATCCTCGCAATATGCAATGATATCCACTTTGTTAGCTCTTTTAGGGATCATTAGTTTTGTGCGAAGAACGCAATAAACTTTTGATTTTTATTTTTAAAAACTTCTTGTTTTTGACCTGCTCAGAAAATCATTACATTTATAATCATATTAAATAGCAGCTCAAATGTTTTATTGTGAAGAATTTTTTGTTTAAAAGACTCAATTCAATCCGCTCTTTTTGACCTTTGAAAAGAGAGGAACTTTACATTTGGACGTTTATTGTTTTTTTTTTGCTTTATATATATTTTGTCCATTTTTTTCCATTTTTTTCTTATTTGGTTTTTGAGGATATTTATAGTTGATTAGGCCGAAATCACTAGTTTTATACGCATTTGTGTAGTTTTTTCCTAACACCACACACAAAACGACACTAATTTTTTGTAGTTTCTTATGAATGTGGTCGGAATATTCTGTGCCACTTGCATAGCAACCAACTTTTATTGTTTGCGTGAATGAAAAAGGTTTCAAATAATTTTTCTTTTTCTAGAGAGACTTTTCAAAACATGTTACGATATGTTAGGAAAAAACAACCCACGCGATGTTTCCTTTTATCGATTCCTTTTGTTTTTCCTTTCCATCGATATTCCTTTTCATTTTATCAAGAGTACTAAGAAACAAAATCTTGTTGATAATTAAATAATCAATAGTTTATGATAGAATTTTTCCGTTTACCGCATTTCAAAAAGAAAAAAACCTCGGTTAAACTGGTTGCTTTAGCCTGCTAACATGTAAAAATTAAACGGGGCGAAATGAAGTTAAAAGTAGTAATTGAAAATGGCTCCAGAATAAAATTTTTGCTATTTGCTTTAGGCTGAAAAAGACAATTTTCTCTAAAATGGTCCCTTGAGGGGTCTGTGGCCCATTTGTAGTGAGTCAGAACATGTTTCCAGGAACTGTGCATCATAGAGGTAAAAGTAAACCAGCTGGGAGATTCCACGTTGAAAACATGCTGACCTGCATTCAGAAACGTCAAAACTGCCACTCTGTCAAATAACCGGTCATCTTTCTCCAACTTTAGATTCGGAACATCAAATTGAGGAAAAATGGTGTCTTGCGTCTTCTGGATTTTCATCTCAAGATTGAGTTGTGGGTTCTTTAACACCCTCATTATTGATAAATCCAGGTCTAAGTTTTGCTGCAATTTCGCAGATATTTTTGGTCGGTACAATGATGTGAAAATTAAGAGAAAAAATAATAAAACTATAAAAATGGGAAATTTAATGTTTGTAAATCGGCAACGAGCAAGCTTCATAATAGAGAAATAGCTCAAATTGTTTTGGCGCTAAGACGCGTGCAAGCAATAAATAGCCCTGAATGTTCCGACTGCATTTTAAATAACATTTTTTGGCAGAAAAATTGACGAAATAACCAAAGAAAAAGAAAAACACTTGTTCCGCTTTTTGCAGTGATAAAGGAACGCAAAATATTGCGCGTTAACTTTGCCGAATTGGACAATTTAGCAATTTAAAAAACCCGTAATTTTCCGGAAAATAATCACAGGTAAAATCTTTTTTCGAAAGATTTTACGGCCCAAGCATAAAAAACGATCAAAAAAACGGCCCAAGCATAAATATTCTGTTTTCTTCGTAACAGAGCAAAACAATGATGACCCTGACTGCAATTAGTTTTCACGGAGTCGTTTAAAATATATTAATTGATGATTTTTTTTAAAGAAAAAAATTCAAAAAAATTATTTGGAGATTTGTTGTTGTGCAAAGATCACGCTGTTGAGATTACGCTGTGCAAACTTCAAAGTGATGCTTTTTATATATACCAAAGTTTCAAATAGACATGCTTCAATTTTTTTGGGGTTGATTACTCAGATAGGTGTAATCTCCGCTTACGCGTTATTTCTCCCAAAATGACCGGCCTGGCAATCTTCGAACCCTCATAATTACACAAAAAATGATCACAGATGAAGTTTTCATTTAATTTGAGCTCAATACTACTTATTTTTAAGCTCAGACGACTGATATAAAATATTTATGTCAAAATTGCTAATTGAAAAATCGAAATCAGTCGGAACATCCATCAAACTAATCCATGAACAGAAAGCTGCCAAAAATTATTGTCTTTAAAGTTTTTACTCCAACTTTGGAAGTAAGGATGGAATATTTGTGCTCGGGTGGTTTTTCTCCAGACAAGTTTCGACTTTTTAACTAGGAATTTTTGACGAAATAATTTTCTTTTTTGTCAAAGTGTGGTATTGTCTTGCGCTCAATTTTAAAAAAAATTTTCACCGGTGATCCTTTTATGCTTAATGATGGGGACCAATTTGATCAACTTGATCAACGAGCGATATACTTTTGGCTAGTAAAGCGTAGGCGGAGATTTAATCCGTCATAAAAAATTGTCTCAATTTGGTTTGAGGCATGCTATTTGATCTATTTACTACTTTTCTTCTTGCCAAACACATCGCTTTGTACTTTATGTAGCATGTGAGGTGATGGATTAAAACAATAGTTTTGGAAACTTTGTAATTTTTGTAAAAGCGTTCACTATTCCATAGATCTAAAAGGCATTCGGAACGTTTAGGGCCTCGCCCTGATACCAGCAGTCTTGTTTAAGTTAGTACCGAGTATTGCCTCCTCCTCTAATGCAATTGAAGAGATTGTTGAAGAGAGCTGTAAAAAACAACTAGTGAATAATGGACAATCAAACAAAAACAAGTTGCTGTTATTTTTTCTTGCTTTTGAGCATTAACTAAAACTGTACTAATTATGAGAGTCAACCGTCATATATTGACTTTAGTGAAAAAAAAGTTTTCATTAGAAAAATTTGGATGTATTATAATTGAAACATTTGGGTCACCGTACCATTTACATACAAAATGCAATGTTGTAAGATTGAATGAGAACCTAAGAGCAGTACTGATCTTATTTGTAGGATATTTGGGAGAGAAAAGAAGATTAACAGTATTTTCAATGGTAGAAAAATACCTAATTAACGAGAAGGGCTGACGTTAAAAACAATTCATGAAAACTCTATTTTTTGTTGAGAAGTAAATTGAAAAATATCTTATAAAATTTTAAAAATTTTTTGAATAGAGCATCATAATGCAAATACGTCTACCATTTTTCTCTTGAATTGTTGTCAAAAACACTTAGAAATAAAAAAACTTTATTTTATTTATTCATTTTTATACATATATATGCACAATAAGATATTTTAAACATGTTATACAAACATGTATATAATTAAACAAAATGTTTATTATGTATAAATCTAAAAGATGTTTACACCTTTATATGCTATTTTTATTAAAAAAATTTAGTTTTGATTGTTTTCCCTAATTAAAAGTTGGAGCTGTCAAAACACTTTGGCCTAGAGTGAGAACTGATGTATCATATAAGCATCGTCCTTGATCCAATCAACTTAAAATTTTAATTTTACGTGTTCTTACATACACTTTACTTAACAACTTTTTTTTCTGAAAAACTTATCTTTAATGTTTCATAGAATCTGTATTTTTAAACATTCCCCAAAACAGTTCTGCTTAGAGCAGACAAAAGAGATAAAAACCATTTTTTTTTACAATTCACACTTTAACTTTAACTTTGACAATTTCTGAACACAAATAACACAAACGAAGGTTCACCTTAAAATCTGGGCCTTAAATTAAAGTAAAAAACTGTGTGGCAAATTGGTTTGCGTATAAAAATAGTCCCTCCTCATTTATAGTGGCTTTTTTCAGATTAGAACAAAAAAATTAAGGTGTAAAGGTTTGTGTAATGACCATAGATTTTGTGGTCAGTGCTTAAAAACAATATAACTACTGCGGATTTGTTATTTGTTTAAGACAAAACTTGGCTGACTAAAAACGGTTGACCAGTTACAGAAAAAATTAGATGTCTAACAGAAGCTGAAAAAACATCGGAATTGCGTGAAATTTTTTTTTGTTAAACTAGATCAAAAAGGTGAGCAAATTCGCTGGGAAATCGGAAAAGTAAATTTTACTTTCGATTCTAGAAGTCCATTACGTTTTTCGTGATCGCTATAATTTTGCTTTTCTATATAATTTACCTTCGTTTCATGAAAAGAACGGAAGCGAACTTGAAAATTAGAGGTGAGAGCGCGAAAAATCAAATTTTAGCGTGAATAATTTTTAAAACTTTTCCTGAAAAACAAAAAAAATCATTGTGTCCTTTATAGGAATCTGAACTAAGTTTATCAACTCTTAAAAACAAACCAGGAAATTCGGTCAACCTAGAAAATTGCACGGCCATAATTTAATCTTATGGCTGTTATGACTAAAGTTTGTCATTTTGAGCTGAACTTTTTTTCACCATAATCTGTTTGTATAGCTAATTTTGAAATACAAAAGACAAAAATAGTAAAAATTTTAAATTATAAATAAATACAAATAAAAAAACTGAATCCTCAGTGCTATGTTAAATTTATTCTACAATTCGTATTGCGTTACATGATTGATCACATAGATCTGATTAAAACATGATTTAAAACTGATAGCAACAGAAAAATTAATGGCAGAAACAAAATCTTCGTCAAATAATTACAAGTTTTGAATCTGGCTTTTTGTAAACCTTTTAAATTGTATATTTTCAATTTAACTAGACTCAAGCTTTGGAGATCAAAGTGATGATTGTTGTAATCTTTTTGACGAATTTTTGAATAACTGATCTTTGATGCTATTTTTAAGGAAAATGTGTAAGATTCAATATTTCATGAAAAAAAATTCATTTCCACAGCGACTCGATCGTCTTTTATGCAGATTTTTTTCTGTGCATTTCACAACAAAAACATGTGTTCAAAACCAGTTGCAGTTTCTTGTTTTGGTCAGAGAAAAATTAAACAAGTTAGAAAAATAGACGATTATTTATTTAAAGGAGAACTATTTAAATGATTTTTCACGCCTGAAAAAGTTAAGAAGACCAGTGGCACCTTGTGTATCAATAAATCTACCCAGTGCAATGTGGCAGAACCCAGTGATTGATTTGCTATTCATTAGATGAGAATTGCTCACAGAGGTTGTCTGAAATGTGAGATGACGCAACTGCGACATCGACAAAACAGAACTTAAAAGTGATCGCCATTATAACCGCGCAAAGTGCAAAGAAAAATGCAAATAATTTGTCCATAAGTTGTGAAAGATTTCTCCATTCATATTCGATCATCTGAAGTTCTTCATACTTGTGCAGAAATTTGGTCACGTCGTTTAAACTTTTCACAACCTGCCCATTTGAACACAAATGTGCGGTCTCACTAGCGACTGATTTTTTCGCTTTAAGTGGACTTTTACTGGCCGAATGAATTTTTCGGTCGTTCGGTATTGTTACGTAGGCTTCAGAAGATCCGTTTCGATGCTCAAAACTTGGTAGTGGTTTTTCCATACCAGGAATAGATCCCAACAATGGCGAGTTTCCAATTTGGCAAAAATGTTGGTCAACTGAGTTGTAGACTACGTTTATGGGACTAGGCGGCGAGTTCAAATTGGTTCCCAAGGAGCCGCAGTTTTTAGAGAGTAGGTTGTGCCGGGGTGCTTTGCGCCACAACAAGAAAAGCAAGCGTCGGAGTATGACTGGCATAGGCTGGTGCTGTCTGGCTCTGTGGAAAACACATAGGACGAGCGAGTTGCAGAAGGTGGAAAGAGTGACCATACTAATTTGCACGATGAAAAAAGTACCTGGAAATAAATGAAATCTTTTACAAATTTTGATAATGATAATTTGTTCCCAGCAAAAGTCCGAACTCAGACTTATTTACATAATTACCCATTTATCTAAAATAACTAAACTCAAGCGATCGCCATTTGACAAATTATGTCCATTTTCCGACATCCCCTTTACAATGAATACCTAGTTATTAAAGTAAAAGGACAAAAGTGTATTCTACGAGGGATACTAGGGTATAAATCAATAATAGATATCACTTTTGCTGGAAACTGTTTTTTTAGTCAGAATCAAATGCTACATGTTGCAGTTTTGTGTCAACTAGGGTAAATTAAAGCGGATAAAACTTTGCCTACCGAGAATGGGTGCGTTCTTGGAACTGGGAGGCATGGCTTCTGCCACTCTCACATTGTTTACAGCCAGGGAAAGCAGAATGGTGATATTAAGGGCTATTTTCTCGCCACTAAAACAGAATACAGATCATAAATCTAATAAGCTCCTCCCCCTTACTCCCATAGGGGGCGGTTTATGAGCGAGTATACGAACTTGGATCTGAGTCGAACTTTTTGAAGCGTTTTATTTTATGAGTGTTCTGAGCGCCCAGTTTATGATACAGTATGCCAATTTGGATCTCAGTTGACTTTTTGAGCCAATCAGAATTGCGCATTATAAACTTAACGGGTAGCAAAATAAAACAATTAATTGGTATGATGGAGGATCTTTAGTCTCTTAACGGTAGGTGATGTTACTTAAATACCATAAAAAAATAAAGACGATTGAGAATCAAGAATCATTGATGTTTAGATGTGTTCCGATAGATATCTTTGTTTTGGCATGTTCGCATTGTAGATAGCAATTGAACGATCTCCCCCTAAATCAATTCAGAGGGGAGACTGTTGTTCCGGGTGAGTTTTCGGGTTTTCTAGTTTTTCTTTTTTATTTTAAGATCAGGTACTACAGAAAACATCTGAATTTGTCGAGTAAGATATCACAGAAAAATTCAAACGACCTGTGCCTTGAATAACCCGTTTGAAATTTTTGAGCTTTAGTCTAGTTTCAACCGAACAAAGCAAGCAACCCGCACTGACAAAAGTAGATAAGAAATAATAAGCTTGAATAAATTATGCAAATTGAGATTAGCTCTAGTATGAAAACAGTACAAAGGTTGAACAGATAAGATTGATTTGGATCTTTTTAAAACTAATTTATATTGATCTTAAATTCCAGCTAAAATATCAATCTATTTTGATTTTGAATCGAGTTAAATCTATTTTTCCAGTCTTTTTTGTTTCCTTTATTGCATTATTTATTGATATTTATGGGGGATTTAAATCTTTTTTTTATTCGAAATATATTATTTTATCTGTCTTGAGTTGTTGTTGCATTTATTTGTTGTCCATCATTTTTCATTAGACATCCATAGCGTCTGGTCGCATATTAAAAAACTGAATAGTTTTCAAAATTCAAATTATTTTTCAATTTGCAATGATTTTAAATTTGATTTATTTTGACCATTTTCTTGATTTGTTACACTTTTTTCTGCTTAAAACTTGGTTTAAGTTAATGGTTTCCTACGATTTCCTTGCAATTTTTTACGCTCAAAATTTGATTTGGTTTGGCAATTTTTTGTTTTGTTGCAGAAATTTTTGCTCAAAATCTGATTTAGTATCATGAGTTGCTATGCTGTAATTCCATATTTTTGAGCCCAAAATCTGTTTTACATTGATTATTTTCATGTTTTTTGTGAGCTTAAAATCTAATTTGTATCGACCTTTTTTCGATTCGTTACACGGGTTTTTGTTTAAATTTGATTCATTTTGATGATTTTCTTCAATTTAATTGCATGTTTTTAAGCTCAAAACCTGATATACATCAACTATTGTATTTGTTACATACTGAAATCTACTTGATATGGATTTTTTAGATACTAAAATCCTTTTGCTCAGTTTTTTAAAATAATTTAGATTAGGATGGATTTAAGTAAGATTCGATTTTAGATGATTATCAAATCAATTTCACAAGTTTTTTACACACTTGAATCGATTCAAAATTTTTAAGAAAGATTAATTAAAACCCATTTAAAATCAATTTAAATCAATCTAAAACCACTTTTGTCAGTGCGGCGAGTAGGTTTTATGAAATTTTTCTTAAGTAGTGAAAAACTTACTCCGGCAACAACTACT